TGCGAATCGTGTAATAAAGTGTGTAAGTAGACTGTGCGTGTTCATGAGAGGATTCATAAAGGCGAAAAACCTTACCATTGCGTGTTTTGTGGAAAAATTGCGCGTTTAGGTGAGTGTTTATAGTGAACAACACACACACGAAACAAGAGTTAGGAGAATTCTTGTAAATTCAATATCAGAGTGACTAAATTAACTGGTCAAAAATAATAAATCTTGAAACTGTCATTTTGCAGTTGGAAAACAAATCTGAGATCCTATGTGGTGGAACAGCATTTCAATGACAAACGTTACAAGTCTAATAGAGACCTACATACTAAAGGTAACTCGTATAAATGCGAAACCTGTGGTAAAGCGTTAATTTTTTTTATCCAAACCGAATCGTTATTGGTTGACCTTTTTTCATATCGAGTACATTTTCGCGAATTTTGGACTACATGACTTTCTTGAAATTAAAATTATGTATTGTACTAAAAGACGTGGACACGGTGTTGCAGTTGCAATGACATTGACACTTCGGTGTTGAGAAGTGAACAATTAGAAGCTGTACATTTATTCGCCGCCCGAATACAAAGTTTATGAAAATGTCGCGAATTCTTTTGTAGGGTTCGAATGAACATCGATATTTTAGTTAGAAACGAGATTATAAAGACGAAATGTGTGAAACCGAGATTTCAAAAAAATGTCATACGATTATTACAATTTTAATCCACTTACTCAGTTAGGAATAGACAAAATCGTGAGATGGATACAATTTTTTTAAACATTCAGTCAGGCCATTATGAGAATCGTCGAAAGAGAGCAATGACCTGCGTTAGGCTGCGTCTATCTGTTTCTTCTGCGTATGCTTGTGGCCTTGAACAGGTGCAGTCAACAGTTATCTCTCACTGACGAGAATCAAAAGTGAGGGTATCGTAATGGAATTTACGAAGTTCTTATTTATAGCGTGATATTATTGCGAGTGTGCCACCTTAATGGTATATACCGTATTGATGGTTCTAGCGCCGTATTATTTGTGCTTTTTAGTATGTAGTAGACCCTTATTAAAAAAGTAACGACACAAAATTACATGTCGAAATCACGTAAATAAGATTAGTATATCAACTAATGAATTGTTCCAAATCGATATATGATTTTCTAATATCCAGTAATTAGAAAAAACATACGTTGATATTTTCATTTCCCTTTAATTATATAATACAGTACTATAAAATTTAGCTGTTCTAAAGTCTATAGTTGCACGATAAATGGATATTATATTTAATATCATATGATTATTTAAATTATGCAACTTTTTTGAGTAACTAAATGAGTTGAACAATTCGTCACGTGATTTATTTATCCAAATTACATTATTTTGTCATGTTATTTGGTGACGTACCTTTTTTAAAATACATTTACGCCTAATTAATTAAATACTCATACATGGAAGGTACATGAAGCGATGATTTTTATGGGTGAATGTGAAGACGGTACATACCTTATATGTATGGAATAATCTTATTAAATAATCGAATATATAATGTGGAATAGAAAACATGTATCACGATGCATATAATAAAGAAATCTTTAATTGAGTATAAGAAGAAATGTGACATATCTAAGAATTTTTTCATTTTTAAGAAATAACATTTTGTAATATTTTTTATTTATAGTTTTTTGCATTTTGATTTTATTTTTTAGATCAGACTTATTGCATTACGACAATATTCTTCGTTAATATGTATTACGTATGTAGTCGATACAATTTTGTAATTTCGTATATTATTTGGAAAATAATATATATTTAAGTTGGATAATATAGTACAGTCTCCTGATATCATTGTTTTTAAGTGGAATAAATAATTGTATAAGCATTAACATTAAAATTTTTACTAATGGATGTAATAATGGATGTAATTGGAAAATTTTTAAATAATTAATAGAGATATGTACTAAATCTTAGGCTTTCATTTTTAACTATATAATAATTTGTAATGGTTTTGGTATACAGTTCTTTGCATTTTAATTTTACTTCTTAATGGCAGCATTACGACAATATTCTTCGATGTTAATGTATATTATGTATGTAGTCAATTCTATACTTTTATATATTATTTGCGAAATATATATCTAAATTGAATAATATAGTATAGTTTCCTGATATCATTGTTTTTCAAGTATAATAGAAAATTGTATAAATTATAATATTGAAATTTCTACTTGTACATTTATTAATTCTGTAATAATATATTAATTCAAGCAATGCCTTTTTATATTTTGTTTGTTTATCTTTCGTTGTAACCAGTGTTCGATCTTATCTGGATAAAATTATCTAGATGATCATCTAGATGAAATTTTGATGCCATCTTATCTTTATCTAGATAATAAAAATATTAATTATCTTTATCTGCATTTTAGATGAAAAAAAAGTATCATCTTTATCTAGAATGATGTTTAGATACTTTGGTTTATATTTTACATTGCTCTAAAAATGTGAAAATATTATAATTTTTTCTTCTACGTAGTTCATGTTTACAGAAAAATTTTCAGCCTCAGGAAGAGAGTGAGTGCATCTAATAGAATATATAATCATTCACATTGCTCTCAAATGATCTTTTTATTCCTGCACTAGGACGCTCAATTCTGATTGATTAACCCAGAGCTGCCCAAAGTCGGTATTTTTTTTGCTTGAAATCGAAATGTATCGTGTCGGTATTCACACTCTACTGTTCCTACTTCTCACTTCGTTGATGTTTTATCGTAGTATGCGATGCTCGATTCATGGACGACACTAATCCGAAATCGAAAAAAGTTTTTGACCTATGTCTTTCACTATGTTTAAAAGAATGTTATTATTAATATTATAAGATACACTATTATTCATAATACAACGTATTATTCATAACCGCAATGATTATGACATGCTTGCTTTCATGCAACTAATATAGAGGAAAAGGACTGTATAGAATTTTTATGTGATTCTTCATTATTTTTTTGAAAATTGTGAGAGACATTGTAAGAGACAAAGTTACATATTAAAATTTAATATTTTTTAATTATTTTGAGAAAAAACTGATTCTTAATTTATAAATAGTCTTAAACATAAAAAATTATCTAGAATTTTTAGATAAATTGTCAGATAAATTTATCTATATTATCTAGATTAATTTAAATGTAATCATCTTTATCTTATCTAAGATAAATTTTCAAATTTTCATCTTATCTTTATCTAGCTAATTTTAAAATCATCTATGCACAACACTGGTTGTAACATAGTATGATCATTAAAATGTTTAACGCATTAATATTGATAACCATGATTCCAATTACTAGAACCGTGTGAAATTAACTACCCAAAAATTTTGAAAAAATTAATTTTTTAATCTCATTCGATTGCTCATCGTTTGCACATGTTTCAACATGTTTCCACACTTCGATTTTTGTTTGCACACATATAGCTTAAAAGTTATTAACAATTAAAGTTTCGAAAGAGATCGACTATGGAAAATAGGTTCAAATAGCAATTAGTGTGCTTAAAAGTTGTCATGAATCGATAGGACTTTGTTTACATCAATATATTATGAAACTTTCCAAGGTTGTATCTCGGAAACTATTTATCGCACGAGATTAAAAAAATTTAATTTTAAAGATAATTTTATAAGCTTTCTCATAATATCTATGCTTTTTTCACCTCAAACAAATCAAGAATAAGTTATTTACAAAAATATACTCAGAAACTCGTATAATAAAGATTTTTTATCTATAACCTAATAATTATTAGCCATATACAAATCATTAAAAAACAAACAGCAAGAAATTTAATATCTTTCATTTCGATAATAACTATTTTTGGCGTAAAATTAGCCGTGTAGAAGATATTTTCGATATATTTACGAAGAAAAACTTTTATTTGCATAATATTCGCAGATCAAAGTGCCTTTAAAAAAATGATATCTCCGGAACTATCGGACGTACGACATTTAGTAAAGTTCCATTTTGCGGGTAATTAAATACTCTTTTGATTTTGTTATATGCGTTTTGCACATAGATGTAGCTAATTTGAGATATTCGCGAAGATAGAACAAATTTACGTAACGTTCGAAAATGTGAGTCCCTTAAAAAAATCTATCTTGAGAACTACTGATAGTATGAGGTACGACCAGTAAATAATTTTCTACAGAATTTTATTATCTTTCTTTTATTATGAATCTACTTAGGTCGTAAAAATGATAGGGCAGAAGATAATAGCAGAAAATCGAAATTTCAACACTTCTATGTTCGTTAAAAAACTCACTGTACAAGCTAACGTAGGGAAGTTTTCAGACTTCATTTCTTTCGCTTAAATGGAGGTATTTAACAATGTTCAAATAAATCGGAATTTTTGTGTTTAAACGCTTCTTTTTGTTCTAAAGTGCTGGACTAGCGTGCAAAAATTTGTAAACGATAAGCAATCGAAATGCTTTAGAAACTGAATTTTTTCAAATGTTGAGGGGCCAACTTAACACTGGTAATTACTAGAAGATGATAATAAAGCTTTGCCTTTATTCATCGCATCTTACAAAATTTAATATAAGATATTGAAATTTAATTAATAGATTTTATATAAAGTCAAATTAATATGAATTAAATTAATTTAAAATGAGTTTAATTTAAAACGTTTATATCACAAAATAACAGTACATTATATAAGATGTATATGTACAAGTGATTTTTACGAAAACAGTGGATGCCTTCCAACAAGCGACACATGACACGGTGTGACACAGTGTATCAGTATGTCCTTGTTGTTCGCCAATGTTAAACAAGGATGAGATGATCACTGTATCGCACCGTGTCGCTTGCTGGAAGGCACATAATATAAACAATATCGAAGACTTATCGCTAGGACAAAATGTCATATCGGCTTTCCATAGAATTACCTATATGTATATTTATAGACGAACACATATAAGTTTATGTATATGTATGGTACAAAAGTACACATAATATATGTAGCCCTTGACACAGACGTTCCCAAGACTTTGACGTGTTCAGACGTCAGCAAGCAATTTGAATTTAACCGTACTTCTTCGTACTGATTACAACATTTAAGCTGTAAGTATTAGAATATAAGTTATTAAATCATTAAAACTTGTATTTATAATCATACCTTAAAATTAAGGCTTCCACAAATTTATCTTTAGACGCTCAGTAGCCCGTAATATAATTCGTATAGCACATATGAAGATAAACTTAAGAAAATTTTAAGTGTAAGGCACAACTATGAATACGGGTACATAATGTCTAACGACAGAGATTATATTAACTTTAAATACCTGCTACATTTATATTTTAGTCTTGTTATAACATACCTATCTGTTACATTCTTATCAGATTCAATAAGATATGTTAGCAGGGCCGGCATATTTCAAATAAGACAGAAGAAGGTATCTTGTATATTTTATTTCAAATAGGTTATTTCATATACTTTAATACAATTTTAAAAACAATTTCCATATTTTTATTTGTAATTGCAAAGAAATCTGATCGTTTTGCTAAACTTTTGCACTAGTTCATCTTTTCTCTTCACCTGGTGAAAAAAGGATGAACGATAAACTGATGCAAAAGTTCAGCCAACAAGAACACATCTAAGGATTAGGACCTAATAATAAAGGATTCTTTTCAGTATTTCATTTGAAATGGATCTTCATCAAAATTTTAGTTTAAATAAATTCTCTTATGCGCATTAACTCATAGACAGCATTTTGTACTTCAAGTGAAAATTTTGGAAGCATTTTATATTTTTATATAAAAAAAAGAATTTTGTATTTGAAATAAAAAATTTCGAAATATTGGTACCTTATATTTTAAACTGAAAAATTGAAAGTATTTTTAATAATGTAATTCAAATACAAAAATATTTTGTATTTTGTATTTTGTATCTCAATTACCTTTTGATGTATATAATATTTTGTCCGGCCCTGACTATCAGTATATTATAACTTCAATGTATTATTAAAAAATTGCTTACTTCTATGATTTAAGGTGGATAATAACAAAGTCAAATATATTTAGAACGTGTTAAGTACGAAGGCAGTATACGGAACATTGCAATAAACTGAAATAAAAAATAACTCTGAAGAGTGAAAGTTTATATTCCCAAAACAAGAAATGAATCGACAACAGGGAACAAGTAACGAAAAAAATGTACCTCAGCAACACGGTAAGACTTATGAAGTTCAGAATTAAATTCTTCAGTTTTATAACTTTCTGCATTGTATTTTAATAATTATCACATTTACGATATTTTTTTCAAATTTTCTTCATATCAATCGCTCTTATTAATATTACGATGTGCACTCTGAATTTCCGACAAGTTCAAATCAGCTTAATATAGACGAACCTACTGAAATAATAAGACTACATAAATGCGAAATATGTAGTAAAACGTATAAGTGTAAATTCGCATTACGTCTTCATAAAACAATTAACACTGTAAAAAATAAAATGTTAATTTTAACTCAAAGACATTTGAGTGAATTTTCTGAGACATGCAAAAATGTTAACATCGACACAAAAATATTAATTTTAATGTTTTTGCATGTCTCAGAATATCCACTCAATGCCTTTGAGTTAAAATTTACGTTTTATTTTTTACAGCGCAATCAAACGAACGATACCGTTGTGAGATTTGTGAAAAAGCATTTAGGTGAGTGATTAAGTATATCACACACACACACACACACACACACACACACACACACACACACACACACACACACACACACACACACACGCACGCACGCACGCACGCACGCACGTACGCACGTACGCACGCACGCACACACACAACATAAGAGTTAAAAAAGTACATTGATAATTCAATATAAATGATTAATTTAAGTAGTAAAAAATAATAAATATTGCAACGTCCTTTTGCAGTGAAAAAAAAGATCTAGTACTCCACCGAATGACAGATCATCCCAGTACGGAACATTTGAATCCTAATAAGGATCTATCTCTTGGACGTTATAAAGAGCATAAGTAGAATATGCGTGTTCATGAGAGGGGATTCATAAAGGCGAAAAACCTTACCACTGCGTGTTTTGTGGAAACATGTTTAGCTGGAAAAAATTCCATCTCTTACTGTTTATTTCTTTAACCAACTTCGATATAATTAATTATTTTATTTACGTCTTCGGTTAATTTAATGTTGTACACTTTCGCGAATTGTAGACTATATGACTTTTTTGAAATGGAAACTATGTATTGTACTAAAAGACGTGAACACGCTGTTGCAGTTACAATGTCATTGGCACTAGCTTCAGTGTCGAGAAGTGAACAATTAGAAGCTGTACATTTATGGTATATGCGTCCCGAATACAAAGTTTATGAAAATGTCGCGATTTCTTTTTGTAAGGTTCGAATGAACATCGATATTTTATAATAGTTAGAAACGAGATTGCAAAGATGAAACGTGTAAAACTGATATTTCAAAAAACTGTCATACGATTATTAAACTTTTAGTCCACTTAGTTAGGAATAGACAAAATCGTGAGATGGATTCAATTTTCGTAAACATTCAGTCAAGCCATTATGAGAATCGTCGAAAGAGAGCAGTGACCTGCGTTAGGCTGCGTCTATCTGTTTCTTCTGCGTATGCTTGTGGCCTTGAACAGGTGCATTCAACAGTTATCTCTCACTGACGAGAATCGAAAGTGAGGGTATCGTAATCGAATTTACGAAGGGCTTAATTATTGTTGTGATATTATTTCGAGTGTCCTATCTTAAAGGTATATATCGTATTAACGATTCAAGCACTGTATTATTTGTGTTTTTAGTATTTAGTAAATCCTTATTAAAAAAGTAACGACACAAAATTGTCGAAATCACGTAAGTAAGATAAGTATATCAACTAATGAATTGTTCCAAATCGGTATATGATTTTCTAACATCCAGTAATTTGAAAAAACATGCGCTGATATTTTCATTTCCCTTTAATTATATGTATAATACAGTACTCTCAAATTTAATTGTTCTAAAGTCTAAAGTTGCATGATGAATGGAAATTATATTTAATATCACATGATTATTTAAATTACACGACTTGCTTGAGTAACTAAATGAGTTGAACATTTCGTCACGTGATTTATTTATCCAAATTACATTATTTTGTCATGTTACTTGGTGACGTAACCTTTTTAAAATACATTCAAATCTAATTAAGTAAATACTCATACGTGGAAGGTACATTGAAGCGATGCTTTCCATGGGTGAACGTGAAGACGATACATACCCTAAATGTATGGAAAAATCTTTTTAAATAATTGAATAATGTGGGATAGAAAAAATATATCACGATGCATGTAACAAAAAAATCTCTAATTGAGTATAAAAAAAAATGTACCTTATCTAAGATTTTTTCATTTTTAAGAAATAACAATTTGTAATATTTTTGTTTTTTGCATTTTGATTTTATTTTTTAGTGCCAGTATACCGACAAGATTCTTCGTTAATAATGTGTATTATGAATGTAATCGATACAATTTTATAATTTCATATATTGTTTGGAAAATATTATATATTAATTGAATAATATAGTACAGTTTCCTGATGTCATTGTTTTGAAGTATAATAAAATATTGTAAAGTTTTAACACTTTAAATTTTTATTTGTTTATTTATTAGTTCTTGGATGTAATAATGGATGTAATTAGAAAATCTTTAAATAAGTAAAAAGAGATATGAACTAATTCTTGGGCTTTCATTTTTGACTATATAACAATTTTTAATGGTTTTGGTATACAGTTCTTTGTATTTTAATTTTATTTCGTAATGGCAGCATTACAACAATATTCTTCGATGATAATATACATTATGTATGTAGTCAATTATGTAATTTTATATACTGTTTAGGAAATATATATCTCAGTTGATTAATATAGTTTTCTGATATCATTGTTTTTCAAGTATATTAGAAAATTGAGAATAAATTTTAACATTAAAATATTTACTTATACTGTTACTAAATCATTAAAGATATTTTAATTTAAACAATGCGTTTTTATACAGTGTTTATTAATCTTCCTTCGTAACATAATATAAAGCTTTAAAAATATTTAACACATTAATTTTGCTAGTCATGATTGTAATCAAAAGATAATAGGACACTGCTTTTAATTCTCGTGGTTCAATAAAATTTAATATAAAATTGAAATTGTACATATATATTTTACGTGAAGGAAAATTAATAAAAACTAAATTAATTTAAAATGAGTAAACGTTTATATCACAAAATAACAATACATTATATAAGTTGCATATGTACAAGTAATTTTTACGAAAACAGTGGGTGCCTCCCAACAAGGGACACACATGACAGGGTGTGACACGGTGTATCAGTATGTCCTTGTTGTTCACCAATGTTAAACAAGGATGAGATGATCACTGTATCGCACCGTGTCGCTTGTTGGAAGGCATATAATATAAACAATATCAAAGACTTGCCATTAGGACAAAAATGTCATATCGGTTTTCTATAGAATCACCTAAATGTATTTTTATATACGAACACATATAAGTTTATGTATATGTATGGTACAAAGGTACACATATCATATATAGACCTTGACAGTAGTTCTCAAGACTTTGACGTCTTTAGACGTCAGCAAGCAATTTGAAATTCAACCGTACTTCGTTCTGATTATAACTCTTAAGCTGTAAGTATTTTCATATAAGTTATTAAATCATTAAAGCCAATATTTATAATCATACCTTACAATTAATTCTTCCACAAATTTATCTTTAGACGCTCAGTAGCCCGTAATATAATTCGTATAGCATATGAAGATAAACTTAAGGAAATTTTAAATTAAGACACAACTATGAATACGAGTACAAAATGTCTAACGCCAGAGATCATATTAAAGCTGACTGAAGTTTGGAACGTTCTTGGAACGAATTTTTCAAAACGATTTCTCCCATTTCTCCTTTGGCACAGATGTTCCTCTGCATGCCAGAAAACAAATTGAAAACACCCCGATCGAATACACG